CCTGTTTTGCCATTGCTGATTTTTTTCAAAACATTTTTTTTTTTTTACTAACCCTGTATTGAAGCGATAATACGAATACATGTAGCAGCAAATAATATTAAGAGTAATACAAATATTTTCGAATTTTCCACGTAAGGTTTGAAAGCAGATGGTGTTACTGTATCTACATCTCATGTGTAGGCATTATAAAACTTTCTTGTTGGGAGCAAAGCAAAGCTCTTTGCTTTAGAATAATGAAAGCAATTAAAAACAAGAAGGAAAAAAATAGGTGAACTAAAGGATGATCTACATATTTTAAAATGTTTTGGTGTTGAAAATACAAGCTGGTATTTTTCTTTAGCTCTGTTTTCTGGTGTGAGAAGAAATCTCACCCAAAAAAGTTCCATACCCACTGTTTATCAAGGAGTTTAGGTTGAGACCTTTTCAGGCTTATTCAGGTTTTATGAAGAATCTTCATGTACATACTTGGCCTTCCTGTTATTTTTTCCAGAATACATCATATTTTTCTGTTATACAGATCTCAATTTTCTATGTCTCCAGAGAAGAAAAAAGATTTTTTTATTCATATCTGAGAATTTTCACACTCATGTCACAAATGTGAAAGTTTACATTTGATATAAGATTTCTTTTAAAAGTTTACAAGTAATATAAGATCTGATACACTTTTCCTTGTGTCTCTGAACTTCTCTGAATGTTCAGTTTTCAGCCTGTAGAAAATACAGATCTAGCGAGTTTAGTCATGTGAAACTTAACATGGTCCGTATGTCTTACCCTGAGATGCTGCTAATTCTGATGTGTGCTTAGGTGTATGAGCATGATCTACAAGAAGAAATGTGTGATATGTGAAGTTCTGAATTAAATTACAAGTAAATCTGCTGAATTCAGTAGGATGTAAAAAAATGAGCTGAAGAGAGATTAGATCCTAGATAGCTCTAGGATTTTTAGTATACTCTGTAAGTCAGTTAAAACCTAAGTTTTAAAAAGGATTATTGAGTAACATTTCTGTAGTCAACAGGTTCACCTTCTGAGCAGTATAAATCTGCAGTCACTATAGTAAAATAACTTAACGAAAAAAATCAAGAATAAGGTCTCCTGAATTGTAGATTCAGCCCAGTTTTAACTTGCTCCTGCCACCTTGCAAAGAGGTACTAGAACTATCCTTAACTCTCATCTGTCTGAATGCTGAGCTATGATTTGTTTGGATGCAGTAGTGTCTAGATTAAGATTTTCTTGCTGTTGCTGTTTAGCTCATGTAATAGTTGTATATTCAGACTTAAAAAGTTATTTGGAGATACTCCTACCAAAGTCATTCATGTTTTACCTGTTTAATCAATTATACCAGGTTTACAGAAACAAGCACGTGTACTAGTACTAAGCTAACATACATAATGCATTTATATTTCTTAAGGGAGATAGTCAACTATAGCAGCAGTTAGCACTTCAGATATTCTGCATTTAAGTAGTTCTATCTGCTGTAGTTGTAGGATACTCTGTACACATGTTCTATCAATCTGTTAAAGGTGGTGTCAAATGGCCTTGAGAATTTGTCATGTTCTGATGTCTTTCTAATGCAAAGCACAATTTGCATAGAATCCAAGATAGTCATTTGTGATTTAGTTATCCACAGACAGATGAAAGTGTGTGGTGCAGGCACTGTTTTATTTGTCATAGTTGTTAAAATGTTGAATACCTCTCAGTTTTAACATGGTGAGGTGAAAGTCATCAGAGGCACGGGAGCTTCCAAGTTAGCATATTAGTCTTACAGCGAAGCACCTTCCAGAATACCAAGTCCCATTTGAGCTCTCCTTGGCCTTTCTTTGTTTAGTGGCAGGAAGGTTATAAATTCTGATCTACATATTTCCATTTATACCTGGTGTGCTTAAAAATGTAATATTAAATCACTGTAGTATCAGCAACATCCTATCTCTATTGCTCTCCCTGCTCTCTTTCTCATTTATGTCATCAATACAAGAAAACATGTGTAATCCTTTGGATTTGCTGCCACCACAGTCATGGTCTGGCAGATGCTTTTTGAACAGAGGGTAGATTTATAGCAATAGCAGTTGCTAACTCCTCAGAAGTCAGACTTGCATGATCTTCCCAATGACCTCCTGTTTTGTTGACAGCAGGTTTTTTCCCTTTGCTTGATGTTTTAAATTTGTCCAGCTTTCTTCTAATCTCATTGTTGGTTCCAGTTGTCCTTTTGTGGTGGCATTAACTTTCTTTCAGACTTACTGCTGTGGTTTTTATCTGTTTTTATCTGTTCATGTTTAGAGCAGTGGTGGTTATGCCAAGCCAACATCATCTTTTCCATGTTACAAATGTTGCCTTGTCCAAGTATTGTGTAATGGAAATTTGATACCGAGGAAGAAGGGGGGAGAGAGAAAAGGAAAAGCACAGAATGTTTTGCTTTGAAGAAATCAGTCTCTGAGAATGTCTTCTTCAAAACTGACAAGACAGTCTTTTTCTCTGGAGAGAAACCTATCGCCAGGTTTTGCTCTGGACAACACTACCGACTTTGCTGAAACGGACACAAATGTGAATGAAGGACAGCTTAGCTTAGGGGAGAGAGGGCTGGTGTGAATTGGAATTGTCTGCTGAAGTCACTGGAATATGCAGATGTAAGGAATCTAAAATTAGATCAAAGACAACTTTGGATGCATTTCATGCACTACATGTGACTTTGAGTACAAATGCTGAGGGAATGGTTAGCTAGGCCCTTTTTTTTTTGCCATAGAGAATAATACAAATAGCCAAACATAACCCTGGGGAAGATATTACAGCCCAGGCTTGTGACTTCAGCTTCCTAGAATTTGTAATGGCTCTTTCTCCAAAATGGAATGTTGAAGTCCATTTAACTCTGAAATGAATAAGAAAATCATAATCAAGTTAACTCTTCAGATACCTGAAGAACAAGATGATAAAAAGGGAGCAAATACACCTGGTGCAGTTTGCATTAATGAATGTTTTCATAGGTGTTTAAGGTGTGTGCATCATACACTTTCTTTGCACTTTCTGTGGAACAACCTACACAGAGAATGGTGTTTTCAGAGAACTCGCAGAAAATGTGGTGTATGTGAACCACAATGCAAAACCAATTAAGGGCGTGTTGCAGAAACCTGCTTTTCATATGGCTTATTTGTACATTTCCTTAAAACTTACCAACCTGCTCCATTAAGTCTTTAGTCAGTCTAGCACAGTTCCCAGGGACGTGAAGTTTTTGGTGTAGATAATGATTTTTTTTTTTAATTAAGATTAGCTCATATCTTTTTTAGGTAATTTGTTGTGTTTTACTCTATACTGAAGAATCATGGAAATTACAAAATTAAGAGAATGATGAAGAAACACAAAGATGGTGAACATGTGTAGGGAGCGTCTTGCACAGAAAAGCTCACTAGTGGCTTTCCTTTAGGCCAGTTTGATTATATGCAGCTGGACACTGTATACTGAGCCTCTGTCAGTAGAAATGTATCATACTGAAATGTACTTTATCTCATGATTTACTCATATCTGAAATTGAAATTACTGCAGAAGTCCTTTTTCTACGTACACAGCTTATGACCTGGTTTTGGTGAGCTAGAGGATTCCTACCACTAAAAGCTGTGATGTTTCTATGACACTGCCTTTTATAGGAAGTGTTATGGGAGGGGCAGTCCATCGCAACTAGAACAAAATGAAGAACCCAGTCGTCATGCCCCCCAAGATCTCTGTACCTGCGAAGAGCTGCCCCAAAGAGAGAGCTTGGGCCTTACCCAGAGCAACACTGATTTGTAGTCCATTGTATCACTTGTGTGGTTTATGCTGAGTACCTGGCAGGATTCAGCAATATATGGAGACCTGATTGTCCCCTACATCCTCGGAAGAGGATTTCGTCGCTTTGTAGCTTCAACACCTAACCTGAGTTGTTTCTTCTTACTTATCCTCGGATCCCACATTATTTCCCAAAAGACCATTAGGATTACTGCCTATTATTTTTTAATTCACAGACTTAGCATTTTTATTGCCTATTGATTTTAAGTCTTTGTTTTCAGTTTAATTTAGTTCAGAATGTTTACTTTGTTGCCTAAAATACCCGTCTTTAGAACTTAAGCAATACAGAATTAGGGACCACAGAAATAAGTAGGATGAGAGTGAAATAAGTATAATTGTTCGATTGAAAGTAAAGGTGCCTCTAGAGCATCAACGTTTTAGTGAGTCAGTGTGCAATGCCATAATACTTTTATGTTTAGTTTACTTAGATGTTGTTTTCCATACAGTTGTTTTGTAACTTTAGTGGAATAAAGGAGGAATTACACATTATATAGAGGTACCATATTAAGGAAGAACTTCAAAGAATAAAATCTTTATGTAGTGGTTTTCTATACATAGCTCTCACTATTTATTTGATGTTAGTGAGCTTGCAGTTTTTTAACATCATGTGTTACAGTAGCTGCTCACCGATAGCTCTAATAAAAATACAGATGGCTTGGTTGCCGTCTGCACTTCTTTTGAGATTCTGCAATGAATATGTGATTAACCTTCTGTCACCACTTTTCAGAATAAGTTTTTTCTCTTCCACAAGTTTTCCATGTACCCCCACTTCCTCCTCTCACCTATTCCCCTGCCTGGAAATGTGCTAACAAACCTGAGGGTTTTTATAGACATCTTACTTGTCTTTATGCTTTAAAATTTTGTAGAGGATAAAGGAAAGTACAATGGAATTTTAGGTTTCTGTACCTTTCACATTATGAAAAACAGACTCCCAAAATGGCTGGGTTTGAAAGACTGGAACAGATAATTAATTCATAAGTGGGTGTTGAAGTGGAAACTGTCAGGCCACAGCTTTCCCAGCTTTCACTTAATCATTTGAAAGTCATTTTCTGTTGTTTTCACTGACTGTAATCCCGTAGAGAGAATATAAAACTTGCACTATCCAGCATGGAATTCCACTCCTTTAATGACTTGGTCTCTGTGTTGACTCACTTTCACTCACTTTCACTCACTGTTGTCATTTTATACAGGAAAAGCCATACCAGTGTTCAGAGTGTAACAAGGCTTTCAGTCAAAAGCGAGGCCTAGATGAGCACATGAGAACCCACACCGGAGAGAAGCCGTTTCAGTGTGATGTGAGTTGATCTATGCCTTTGTCTTCATGACTTCAGTGCAGCAGCGGGACTTAATTGCAGTAAGACTACGGCCTTGCACCTATTGGCTGTCGCATAAAGTTACACTTCATGGTCTTTGGTTGCCTAACTAACGAAAGACCATTCAGGGAATTTTATGTACCCTCTTCAGTTACCTAGAGTGTTGCACGCCCTTTTATTTTATGGTTTTGGATCCCTTAAGAGTTATTTTCAACATTATTAATGCAATTTGGATGTTGCAAGTTACAAATTCATGCTGGTTGGGTTCCTTATAAATTGTATGACAGCTTAATGGTTGTTGATTAGATTATACAGGAAAAGGTATTTAATTCATTACATGGAATCTGAATGCTTCTGATGTTGTTGAATGACACAAATATGAATTCAGATTTTCCAGTTTCTGTTCAGTAAAATCTGGTCTGATTATTTTCAACACCTGCTCATAGGTTGGGGTTTTTTAATTGTTCAGTGAAGGAATCATGGATGCTGTGTGTGCTTGCAGCACTGAAATGCAGTGTGTCATATTATAGTTCATAGATCACTGTCAAGTACCTTTCGTTCAGCATCCACCATCCTGTATACAGTGTATCTCAGCTTTTTGAAGATAGGTGAGGAGGCTGAATGTGCTGAAACTGTTGGAAAAGAATGTCCTTCAGAATTATGAAATGCCAGAATTTGTTGCTTGAGGGTTTAGATGGGTGTCAGAATAGGATATAGAATTATTATAGGTGCTTTCTTCCGTGATACTAGCTTTTAACAGTCCAGTCACAAGGGAACTGCCAGCTTTCAGTTATAGCCTAGATGGCTCAGTCTGAATAATTGTAGATTTTTTTCACAAATTTCTAAGATTACACGCAAAATTAGAATAACCACTTGGCATGAAAGTCGTAAGGATCTGTTAACTGATCTGGCTTTTAATAAATAATCTGATGACATTTCACTGAGCATAAAATGTATTAATAAAAAATTTCAGCTACAGTAATTTGGTGATGTCAGGAAGTCAAGAGATTTGCTGTATTCTTTTGGGATAATCTCAGCCTAGCTCTAGATAGTACCTTGAGGATTTCTCTAATTCCAAATCAATGTCAATAACTTTCAGTTTTCAGATTACTATAATGTCTATCAGCTTTTAGCTAGCTTGCAGTGTAAATGCAATTTTTCCCACACTGTGGATCCAAGATTCACGGGTCTTGGATTCACAGTGTGCTTTTTCAGACCAGTTTGGGGTCGTGGTTATATTATTTTTTCTTTCTTTAATTGCAAATAGGAGCTGTATGACAACATACTTTCTTGCTTCAACTATTCCTTCAGTTTTCCTCATTGATTAGGTAGAACTGTATTTTCCCAAACCAAAGTGTATCTAGAAACAGCTGTAATCTGTGTCTAGTCATAGTCCTTCTCTGAGAATTTTTATGTACCTTCGTTTACTGGAGATTTTTTTTTTATGCTTGACATTACTGCCATGTTTCACCAAAATTATTCTTCAGCACTAGTCTTTTGCCAGCTGCACTTTGTAGAGATTGCTGACTTTTTGAGGTTTGGACATAAATAGCAGTTGCCTCTGCGTTCATACATTTTCCAGTTGCCCAGGTGCCTACCATGGTCTGCTGCATAATGCACAGTTGGAGAGTGTTGAAAGTTTTGTTTTTGATAGTTACTCCTGATTTAATCTAGACTCCACTTCTGTGGATGCTGGGGACATGGTAAACGTCACTCAGAGCAGACCATTTCTCCAGAGCTGTCTCACACATTGCATGTTACCAGAGTTTTCAGCAGAAGTTACAGGAAAACCAGTAGTGGACAGTTACAGAAAAATGTACCTGTGAGAGACGGTTACTGTTGGCTCCCCAATACTAGAGATTGCTTTTTACACTTAAATATTCTCACCTACAGTTTTTTTTATCCTACTAAAGGTAGCTGTAGATGTTTTCATTGTTTTTCTTGTAATGACTTGAGTGGTAACTTATGACAACAACTTCCACAAATTCTTAACTGTGGAAAGAGTTTTTGCAGAGGGGAGAGCATGTCAGGTTACTGCAATGGAATTTCAATAACTGACTTTTAGTTCTTTCACAAGCAGCAGGTGTTAATAACGATTCCATTCATTGCTTTCTATAGATGTGCCATGTTTCTTCTTGGTCAGCGTCTCAAGTTGTTTACTTCCCATGTTCATAATATTTTTTGTTACTATTTTCTGGATTTTTTTTCCCTATTTCCTTTGCTTGTTTTAAGGGATGAAGGCATACTATTGGCATACCCTTATTCATTAAAGTAATTGGAGAAGTCCGTAAGTCAAATGCCCAGACCTACTAACAATCTTTTAAAGGTGAAAAACAAGGCGTGTTTTCAATGATGAGCATATTCATAAGTGTAATTATACATGAAGCCACACTGAAAGGCAAAAGTCTTCATAGGATTGAGAGGTTTGGTCTTGTCTTCTACCTGGCATTAGAAGCGGTCATAGAGACTATTCATCTCTTTCATCGAAACATATTATTATTTGCGGTCAGTTTTCTTTGTTTCTTAGTACTGTTAGCATTTACAAACAGGAATTGCTTTCAGTGCCAAAGAATGAAAGAAAGAAAACTTTTGGCTATTGAAAAAAAAAAAAAGTATATTTTATGGGCTCAAGAATAGGCTTTGCTTGACAATGCACCTCTCCTCACCCAATGTAAACTATTACATACCGATTTTTTTTTTTTTAGACTGTGTTTTGGCTTTAAATAGATTTTTCTTCCAGAATCAGAAATAAAAGCCATGTCTTCCCTTCCTCTCTCATTCTCTTCTCTCTCAGGCATATGGAACAGACGTTACAGTACAGGATTGTGCTACATGTAAAAGTAATCCTTGTACCCTGTTTGATGAAGGTGCCACAGTTTATTTGTGTGACTATTTCTGTGTCTTATCAGTCAACAAAAACATTTTCCGTACTTACTGTTTAATGACTCAAAGCTGTCATATCCCACTGTTAAGTGGAAGTTGAATATTCCCATTTTAAGGTGAAAATTCTAATATATGTCACACAGGAAAGTGAAAATAAATGAAATATGGAAATATAAAATGTGTTTTTTCCTAATATATTAGACTTTTGTCCTCTGAAGACCAGCCTGTTTTTTACTGGACAACCAATTGAAATTCAGTTGCCTCGGAGACAACAGGTTATTCTTTGGGGGCAGAAAGGTCAGGTACTGCCTGTCCTGGTTTCTTTCTAGTACAGTATTTCCCTCCACTCTGCCTTTAGTTGACCCTACACTTACTTGCAAAAGTCAGTCTTTTCCATCCTCCCTACTTAATCAAAACTTTGATAATTTTGAAGAGATTGATTACAGTTCAAGTGCACATTAGCAACCATGGTTGTAAATCTATAAAATGTCAGTCTTGCTTATAAAATTAAAATATGAAGGAAACTCTTAAAAAAAACCCTTTTATGCATAAGCACAGCACAAGATGTATCATATCTTTAATGATCTTGTGCATTACATGTTCTTTTTGAGGAAGTTAGGTAGTAGAACATGCTAGAGCTTTAAAGGAACAGCAGGAGACATTATACTAGTTACATAAGCATTATAAAAGAAAAAATCTACTTTAAGACTGTGGAAGTTGTTTAAAATTGAAGAGGTGTGTGTAAGAGACACAGAACACGTACATATCTTGCACATGTGTCCTTGATCAGCTTCCTGGCTTCCAAGAAAAGTGATGTACTTAAAAGTATGTGATACTTCAACATGTTGAGACTTGTGAGCAAGCATGGTGTTTATGATTAGATAAATGTTACGAGTTCACTTTGTGTGTTCTGTGGAAGAGGAGTAGAAAGTGGTATTTGGCAAAAGCAATATTAAGACCTGACCAGTGGATGCTGTAAGTGACATTCACTGTTGCATAACAAAAGGGTGACTGTTGCTTGGGTCTAAAAGAGGTAATTATACATTGAGGGGAAAAAATTTGGAGAGTTACGGTTGCTGTATAAAAGTCCTTGGTATTACGTCATGTCATAAATTCAAAAATGTTCCATTGCAACAATACATACAGTGTTCTTGTCTGGGGAAAAATTATTTTGGGTGCAAAACTAGCCTCTGGCAATTGCCCTTTTTATGGTCATTGTATGGTTTTGCCTGAATTGGCATAAAATACGTGTACTGCAGGTCAAGATTATCTACAATGGATAGTCAGCTCTATTTGTCTGTCTTGGTTTCAAAAGGAATCAGTAATCATTCAGCTAGTAATTTTCATTACTAGTTTGATACCAATATGAATTTTAAACTTTATTTTCCTACAGAGAGATTGTGCTGGGTTTGCTGAGTTTCCTCTGCAGGGAGAACATTTTTGTCTGGAATGAAGATGGAATTCTAAGATTGCAAGCCTATGAGTGTTCATTCTTATTTAATTCTATAACTCTTGCCTATCTAATTTGTCAAATCAGGAGCATGCCTTCTAAATTTTTTTCTCTGGGCAATTCATGCATAGAATATGTACCTGGATGGAAGGTGAATGTAACAATATAACTGCACCATTTCAATTGACTTCATGCCTTGCTTACAGATTCTTAACTTTTCATTCTAACTTCTCTTGGCTGAACTTGTTCTTAACCTTTCATTTTGACTTCAGTACAGGGATTTATATAAGAAGTGATGGTTTTAGTATGGCAGAGTCCCTCGTCCCTCTACCCATTTATTCAAATGGCAGAATGAATTTGACTGCTTGGAGTACAGTGGAGAAAGAGAAGCAGCACACCAACTAATATATCAAATGACTTGCACTTTCATTTGCAAAATGTCTTCCGTTTTCTTGGCCAGGCAGAGGAAGACTGGAATAATGAGGTTTCCTTTATACTAATTATTAACCTTTCTTGCAGTCTTCTGAGCCTCTTTTTTTCTCACTCCTTCCGTTTTGTAACTAAGCAATTTGAACTGATTTTTTTAGGAACCCACAGATGTCATTCTGGAGGTCAGGAAGCAAATACTTCATTCGAGGTTGAACTGACAGAGGCTTGTGCATCCCAGATAGCATAATAGGTTTAAAAAAAAAACCCCAAACCCACAGTGTAACTGGGACACCTCAGTGCACTGACATTTTGAAGACTGGGTCTTTTCCTCCTTTTCTTTGTCCACTCCCCCCCTCCCCCGTGCCTGTGGTACCACTCTTAATGTACAACATTGAAAGATACCAGGCAGAGTAATAATCTTGAAGGTGCGCTCTGAAGGAGTTATTCTTCCAAAGACCAGCTCATTTATTAAGTATTGCAGGTATGTGTGGCTGTGGCCTCAGTGATGTAACATAAGGAGCTTTATACGTGCTTGAAGTTTTAAGACATCCTTTGTCTTGTCTTCACTGCCTTAGGTTTGTGACCTGTCCTTCAGCCTGAAGAAGATGCTGATCCGACACAAGCTGACTCACAACCCCAATCGACCGATGGCAGAATGCCAGCTTTGCCACAAGAAGTTTACAAGAAATGACTACCTCAAAGTGCACATGGAAAATGTCCATGGTGAAACTGACAGCTAATTACGGCGTGTGTGAGAAGAATGGATCTTGCGTTCCAAAGTGCTCCACTTGTATGTGTACAAAATCCAGACTTCTCACCTCACTAATAAGAATAGTCAGGAGAAACAACTGTAATGTGTTCACATGTTGTTTTTCTCACTTTTTTAAATACACTAGTAGGATAAAAACCAAAGACAGACATTCACCCAAAGTAAAATGTAGCTTGAAAATAAAAAGTTGAAAATAAAAGAACTTTGGGAAAATTTTATCCTCATAAAAAAAAAAGTAAAACCAAAAAGAAAAAGCTTTAAGCAAACTTCACCTTCTCACTTACAGCTTTCAAAACTTAGGTATTGGCAGCGTTATCTGGAAATCCTGGACATTTGGAATTGAACCCTTGGTTGTCTTCAACTGTATTTCTGTAAGCTTGAAGACTCTATTAAAATTCTTTAATTCGAAGCCACACAGAATTTGTCGTTTTAATTGACTGCTAATTGCATCCAGGCATATTTTATTCAGATATTAATTCTGCATTTTGTTGTAACATGATTTTGTCTTGTTTTATTTGCAGCTTTCTCATTACTAGATGAAACTCAGTAACTTGAACTGGTTCTTGAGATGCTAAAATGTATGGGTACAGAAACTGTGGAAATCTATTACGTTAAGTATTTCTATATGAGCATTGAGAATGATATATTTCTTCTGCTTACTTGAAGCAAGACTGAAGTGAAAACTTTGAGCAATTTAGTTGAAGTACTATATTCATACTCATCATTATGAGTGGCAAGGCAAGTGGAAAGACATCTTAATAGAGTGGCTTGAGCGGTTACAGTTGTGTAGTTCATGTGTATGTGATTTCCTGGTTGCGAGAGTGTTTCTTCCCGATGAATCAGATGCCCTGGATTTCTTCATTGCACTTAACTACCTTTGTTTTCTTAATTCTGTTAACGAGCACTAGGAAAAACACTGTTTTACAACTAGGTAACAATCAAATTCTCCATGTTATCAGATTGAGTTATTTACTGCAGTAAAACTCTGGAAGAGAGTTCCCACAGGCCTGCTTGTACCACAGCTGGATAACCAAGAAATTTTTTATCTACAAGGACAGTAAAGCTGTAACTTCAGAGGGTGATTGCATGTGAAATTCCTGAGTTATCAGCAGTTAATATTAAGGCTCTGTCATTAGTAAACTGTTCATATTCATTTTGGATCTGTCAGTGTTTTGTAAAATGAACTTGCATTAGGACATCTTGCTTCTTGTTTTCGTGGGAAAAGAATTAGCTTCTTTCTGAACTGCAGCAGGGACAATTATGCTGAAATGGACAGCATGATTCTGTATCTCACAGTAGACTACTCAAATCTGTTTATCACATAGTAGATTTTTACTCGGAAGCGCAAAAAAGAACTAGTGATAGAAATAGCTAGCAATAGGAGATGTTGATATATTTAGTGATTAACACTTCCTTCCTTCTCTACTAATATTTTGGATCCCATTCTTCTGCATGGACATCTGTATGTTACGTGTTAAGTTTCGAGACCCAGCATTGGATCCCAGCAGTAATATTTTCCAATGCCATTACTTTTCTTCAGAAAATAAACAGAAGACACTTTGTGTTTTTCTCAGAAGCTGAAGAAAGCAAGTCACTAATAAGCGGTAATTTTGATTACAGAGTTTATATCAGAGGGTCTTAGGTTTTTTCTAGAAAGCCTCCTGTTTTGTTGTGAGACTGTCTTCAACCCCCTTTCTTTCCTTTTGGATGCCTGTAATGCTCCATGACAATAGACTAACAAGTTCACAGGTGTCCTTCCCATTTACAATGAAGCTGTACACTCAATTTTACAGGTTCCCTTTCTTAATGAAACCAGGTCACTTACTGCTAGCAATTCTAACAAAGTTCATGAGGAACAAGCAGGAACTGTCACTGTTTTCAGCATTATAGAAAACTTTGAAGTGATGTCTTCATATTTATTTCATACGTCCTTGGCTCAAAGTACATATGACTTGTTAGGCTTGAATGAGCCGCCTGCAGGGTTCGGCAGGCAAAGGGGTAACCTTCAGCTGTATTTGCAGATTTGAAATTGGAATGCAGTCTCCCCTAGGCTGATCTAGACCAAAAAAGGATTAAAGCTTAGTAAAGCAATAGACAAGTGATCCAGACCCTAGTGTGATTGTAAAAAATAGGCCACTGGAATTACACTGATGTAAGATCATGTGTAGAGGATGCTGGAGAAGTCCTGCATATGGAGAACCCAATTTCCTGTAATGTTGTTCTGTAATGTATTGGTTCAATGTGGAAAAAATGACTTGTGTTACACTGGTGTGTAACAGAAAAGCATGTCACTAGATGTATGTGTTACGTGATTTTGAGTTATAATCTCTATGGTGTTGTGTAATAACCTCTATGCTCTTTCTAATTTTAATTAAATATAGAACTTATTTTCCTATATTTTAATAGTCTTTTCCAGTATTAGTTTTGAAGGCAAACTGTACGGTTGATGTTTCATGAATTATAATTATTCAGTAACACTTGACGATTTTATTGCATTCAGTTTGGCTGTTGAAATACATATACTTAATTGTTTCTACATAGTTTAGGATTCCTGCAGATTTTGAAGGAGCAGTTTCATTATGAATATTTCACTTGTTTGTGACAACCACCTACTTGTAAAAGCATAGTAAGTCTTCTTCATGCCCTTTTTGTTTCCCGAGAGATACATGAAACTTGGAGTCTTTGCCAATTCCATACAAATGATTTATTCATATGAATTGAATATATTGAAATCATAGAATCATTAAGGTTGGAAAAGACCTCTAAGATCATCAACTCCAACTGTCAACCCATCACCACCATGCCTGCTAAACCATGGCCTGAAGTGCCATATCAACACATTTTTTGAACACCTCTAAGGATGATGACTCCACCACTTCCCTGGGCAGCCTGTTCTAATGCCTGACTGCTCTTTCAATAAAGAAATTTTCCCTAATATCCAATCTAAACATGCCCTGGCGCAGCTTGAGACCGTTGCCTCTTGTCCTATTGCTAGTTACTTGGGATGAGACCAACCCCTGCCTCACTACAACCTCCTTTCAGGGAGCTGTAGAGAGCAATATGGTCTCCCCTCCGCCTCCTCTCCTCCAGACTAAACAAGCCCAGTTCCCTCAGTCGCTCCTCATAAGACTTCTTCTCTAGACCCCTCACCAGCCTCACTGCCCTTCTCTGGACACACTCCAGCACCTCAATGTCCTTCTTGTAGCGAGGGGCCCAAAACTGAACACAGTATTTGAGGTGCAGCCTCACCAGTGCCGAGTACAGGGGCAAGGACATTGAGGTGCTGGAGCATGTCACACATACATATTGTATGCGTGTAAGAGAAATATAGTAGAAGTAGACGTTATAAGGTTGAGTAAAGAACACTTCCTCTTCTTATTTGAGAGCGTTGTTAAAGAGTTTCTCAGACTAGTCTATTTTAGGTCCAGAGATCTTATTGCTACAGCTACTATAAAAATTAATGTAATTGAAGTGTTCAGGTAGCAAAATCAATCAGTACTGTCTGCTGAGATGTCTGGTGGTGTTTTAACTGTATGTTCTTAATTATCTGCAAGGAGAATTACGTTGGTGACTTTTTTTAACATGTCTGATGTGGGACAACATTGCAAAGGTGACTTTATTTTTTTGTTTGTTTGTCTTTTTGACATAAATAAAAATCAAGAATTTAGTGATAGAAGAATTGAGATTACACTTTTTAAAATTTTTCTTCCTTTATATTTTTCCTTTTTCACAGAATCACAGAATGGTAGGGGTTGGAAGGGACCTCTGTGGGTCATATAGTGCAACCCCCCCAGGTAGCAAAATCAATCAGTACTGTCTGCTGAGATGTCTGGTGGTGTTTTAACTGTATGTTCTTAATTATCTGCAAGGAGAATTACGTTGGTGACTTTTTTTAACATGTCTGATGTGGGACAACATTGCAAAGGTGACTTTATTTTTTTGTTTGTTTGTCTTTTTGACATAAATAAAAATCAAGAATTTAGTGATAGAAGAATTGAGATTACACTTTTTAAAATTTTTCTTCCTTTATATTTTTCCTTTTTCACAGAATCACAGAATGGTAGGGGTTGGAAGGGACCTCTGTGGGTCATATAGTGCAACCCCCCCTGCCAAAGCAGGGTCACCTACAGCAGGCTGCACAGGACCTTGTCCAGAGCAGGAGACTCCACAACCTCCCTGGGCAGCCTGTTCCAGTGCTCCGTCACCCTCAGAGGGAAGAAGTTCTTCCTCATGTTCAGACAGAACTTCCTCTGCTTCAGTTTGTGCCCGTTGCCCCTTATCCTGTTGCTGGGCACCACTGAAAAGAGTCTGGCCCCATCCTCCTGACACCCACCCTTGAGATATTTATAAACATTTATTAGGTCCCTTCACAGCCTTCTTGAGGCTGAAAATTTCCATTTGGTTAATGCAAACTAGGGCACAGAACAGCAAAGAAACCAAAATCAGTTCAAAATTGAAGATTTTCCAAACAGTATATGAGGGACAATGCTATTAAGACACAAAAAAGGAAATCCTTTTTTGGGGAAAAAAACAGGTAATTTGATATATTTTACATATTTTGTATATGCTTTTTGCCAGAGATCTTTGCTGCAAAGTTGTGTTACATGTTTAGGATTAGTAACTGTATTTGAGATAAATAGCTAGTTGTAGAAAGTCCGTATATGAAGACAGGAAAGTACTTTTTTTTATTTTAATTATTGCTGGATCAATTACAATATACATGTTAAGATTAATTTTGCTGTATGTAATCAATAGCAGCAGTTAACTAACTGAAGCTTTGATCTTATTAATGGCTTCACTAGAACAAGGGGTGGACAGGATCAATGTGCAAGTGAAAGACCTTCATGGGAAACACAAGAAGCAGGTGCAGGAGGTTGAAGCCCGTCTCCTGATGATGACTCTTCGATTATGTCCTCCACGAACTTTCCTTGTGGGGCTAAAGTGGCTGCAGATCTGCCTGAGCTCTTACAGAGCCTTCACCTGGCTCGGCAGCTGCAGGTGTTTCCATGGCAAGAACTGTACTGTCCTTTCCACGAGGTGCTTGAATTTCTTGCAGTCGCAGGTAATATGGTTCAGATTACTGAATTCGTGGTAGTAAACTGTATAATTGCGTTTATGTGCAATGCAGACTTACTGTTATGCAATATATTTCTATTTGGTCATAGCTTTCTTAAAAAACAAAAACCAAACAC